TGGCATAGGCTTGAATTCTATCTGTCTTCTACACAGTTTTTATATGGTCCTAATATTTCCCCAATGATTTTCCTGCTGTCTCATGCAGAACTGATATCTCTGCTCCTGCCATTTCCTGCCAGGCATTGGAGGCAGCCTGGAAAAAATGGTTTTTAAATGAGACTGAAAGTCAAGAGCCCAAGTACTTTCCGTAGCTCATCTTATGATTGACAGTGAGACTGTGCAAATCCATCTTCCTATTTCTTGGTCACTTCACAAGTAAGACAGGAACCAGAGGCTCAGTCCTCCAGGGCGCCACACTTCTGCTCACAGGCCACCCGAGCTTCTACACACAGAACATTTCAGCCCTGGAAGACCTGCTTCATTAATTATAGTCATAAATGTTTAAGAATAATGGCTTAAAAAGCAAAATGGTTCTCATCACTCTAAGTCTAAGGCAAATACAGGTGTATCTTCAGAAAAGATAGCCTCTAAAAGAGTTGTGTAGTTTATTTTAAGTAAAATGAAGCACCCTTTCCTCCTAACCTATAGTATCATTCTGTCTGGGGGTAAATAGGCTACTTCCTGCTCAGATGTCTATATTCATTCATTCATTCAAGTTTGTAATGTTTCAGAGGCTCCTGCACGTTCTAGGCATTCTACTGGGGATGTAGCAGTGAACAAGATGGGCATACTTTCTGTCCCAAAATAGACCCCAGTCTGAGTAGCTAATGGTCCGATAGGCAGCAGAACCTCCCTGCTCCCCTGCTCCAGCCTTTAACCAAACAAAAGCATCCACTGAAAGTCTGGGAAAAAACCAAGCCTTTCTCTAAGCGAATCATTACAGGAAAAGTAATGATTTGTTAGGTGCTGTCGAGTCGATTCTGTCTCATAGCGACCCTATATACAACAGAATGAAACACTGCCTGGTCCTCACAGACATTGCTATGTTTGAGCTCATTGTTGCAGCCACTGTGTCAGTCCATCTTGTTGACAGTCTCCCTCTTTTTCGCTGTCTACTTTACCAAGCATGATGTCCTCCTCCAGGGACTGATCCCTCCTGATAACACGTCCAAAGTACGTGAGATGAAGTCTTGCCATCATTGCTTCTAAGGAACATTCTGGCTGTACTTCTTCCAAGACAGATTTGTTCATTCTTCTGGCAGTCCATGGTATATTCATTATTCTTTGCCAACACCATAATTCATCCGTTTTTCTTTGGTCTTCTTATTCATTGTCCAGCTTCTGCATGCATATGGGGCAATTGATATGATCAAAGTAATAATAACCAACATTTATTCAGCGCTTTACCATGCACCAAGGACTGGACTAAGTGCTTTATCTACATTATTTCAGTGATCCATCAAAATAGCCTGATGTGATATAGATGGCAATATTACTAATAGGGAAACCAAGGTACAGAGATATTAAATATTTTCTCCAAGGCCACCCAGCTAGACACTGACAAGGATTCACATCTGGCAGTCTTTCTCCAGGGCCCATACCTGGGTTCTGCTTCCCTCTTGGAGCCCAGGTTGAGGAACAACCTCCAGCATGTGCTAGAAGCTTCTCTCACCTTTTTACAACCCCTACTAGACCGTCAAATTGTAACAAGAATTTTTGATTTGTCACGTAGAATGGATGTTGTTGGGCTAAGTTACAAAACAGGTACCTTTTCCCCCGCTCTGAAAATTGACAGTTGCCAATAGTTTTAGTTAAACTATGGGATTACCCAATTCTGTACTCCAATCCCATGGGACAATCCTAATTCCAACATGAAATTTTCTAAACTGTGTTCCAAGGAGTGTTAGGTCAAGATTTCTAAATAAGCGTTCCACCAGAAAGGAATTCATGGCCAAATAAGTTTGGGAAACTACATTCTCCTCTCTGTAGGATTCATAATAGTCATGAGCATATTAATGGTTCTATAAAATGCTGCAGTTACCTCTGACTGTAAACTTTACCTGATTAACTTCATTTAACCTAGGTTTTCAAATACTATTAATGTCTTAAGAAACTAGCGTCTCAAGGAACAAGTTGGAGAAGCTCTGCACTAGAAAGAGACTTAGCCTCAGAGAAAGTTGTAGATCACTAATGATACGTATATCTTAGTTTAAGTTAAAATGTATAAAAAATTACTTTTATTAGAAATGTTAAAACATGTATAAAATACCTGTTTTTTTAAAAAAAACCAAACCAGTTGCTGTCGAGTTGATTCCAACTCATAAAGACTCGATAGGACAGGATAGAACTGCCCCACAGGGTTTCCAAGGCTGAAGTCTTTACAGAAGCGGGCTGCCACATCTTTCTCCTGTGGAGCTGCTAGTAGGTTCGAACTGCCAACCTTTCGGTTAGCAGCCAAGCGCTCAACCACTGCGCCACCAGGGCTTCTTGAAAATATCTATAGAATCTTAAAAACAGCATCTGAGTAGGTGCCCAATCGTGCTAATCCAGATTGGTATCAAGTTGTTATGTTCTTGGGTTGGGAAGTAGAGACACTGGTTTAGTGTGCCAGGATGAAAGCCATGAAGTAGGATCCCATGAGCCGGTGGGGCCGAGTGGACCCATCCACATTTACCTCGCTTTGCCAGGTGAATAGCACACTTGATGTTTCAGTGCCCCCTGGGGGCCACCAAGATATTGCACAGAAGTTACTGCATTATGTGGATGATGCAGAAAATGGAGCCCTGGTGGTGCAGTGGTTAAGAACTCGGCTGCTAACCAAAAGGTCAGCAATTTGAATCCACCAACTGCTCCTTAGAAACCCTATGGGGCAGTTCTACTCTGTCCTACAGGGTCACTATGAGTCGGAATCGACTCGACGGCAACTGGTTTGGTTTGGTTTTTGGTTTATTCATAGGGAAAAGGTAGAAAGAGATCTTTATAGCAAGAACTGAAAGAATAAATGAAATAGTCTAAAACACTCTGAACAAAACTGTAAATCTTTCTGGCTTCTAGGATGCTGGTAACCTAGCAACTAGCTTCAAAAAATATATTGGGTTGGTCCAAAGGAAAGATGACACAGTGTGAAAACACTTGGGAGCAGTGTCTGACCTCCTCTAACTTCACAAGGGGGAAGGAGAATCAAGGTCAACAGCACAAGGCTATTTCCTGTGAGGTGGAGGCAAGACATGCCTCCTCCCTCTGCCATCTGTACTAATTCTGACACCAACCGTCCCTCACACAGCATTCTCTACTTCTCTGCTGGGTTCGATAATTCATTGCAATGGCCACACAGAACTCACAGACCATTTTCATGGTTATGGGGTTTATTAGGGAAGTAACAGTTACAATTCAGGCTCAGCAACACTCAGGATACAGTTCTTTCATCAGGACAGCCTCTCCCCAGCCGTACTCGCAGGCAGGCCTCTCCCTGGCCCTAGGCCTTTACCCAAAGCTACCAGGTCTCTCCTTCCTTGGTAGTAGTGGTGGGCTTCTTCCTCTCTGCTCTGGAATTGGCTCTCTTTTAAGGCAAAACTGACCAATCCCCTTGGTAGGCCACAGTTACCCATCACACAGTCACCTGGGTGGGAGTTATAAGCCCATGGATAGAAAGGCCACACACAAAAGTACTTAATTGCACCATAGACAGTCACATAAAGGATCAGCAAAAAGGAATAGTGGAGGGGAGGATGTTAAACAGGTGATGACTGGAATGTGGTCTAGGGTAAACGTTGTCAGGATGAAGAGAAAGAAGTAACATCAGTTTTCCCTATCTGAAAGATGAGTTTTAAAAAATAGCATCTCCACCATGGAGGGGTTGTACTAAAAAACTCTGTTCCTTTGTGTTCAGATGAAGCCTTTGGAAAAGGATGTCACATAGACCACAGGTGGGTGAGAGGAGATGAGGGATTAACCGACCTCTAGGTACACAGTGTTCTTATTAGCCTAGTCTCCATATTTTGCAGGATTTGTACTTTGTTGGGGAATGATTATATTCAAGAAATACTTTGGCTACTAGCCTATAGGGAAGCCATATTGGGGTGATGGAGATTGCATTCTTTGGATCCAAACCCATTGCCATCAAATCGATTCTGACTCATAGCAACCCTATAGGACAGAGTAGAACTGCTCCATAGGGTTTCCAAGGTGGTAATCTTTATGGAAGCAGACTGCCACATCTTTCTCCCATAGAGTGGCTCGTGAGTTCGAACTGCTGACCTTTTGGTTAGTGGCTAGGCACTTAACCACTGAGCAACCAGAGCTCATTAGATGCTATTGTTGCTGTTATGTGCCATCGAGTTGGTTCCAACTAATAGTGACCCGATAGGACAGAGTAGAACTGTCCCATAGGGTTGCCAAGGAGTGGCTGGTGGATTCAAACTGCCCACCTTTTGGTTAGCAGCCAGGCTCTTAACCATTGCGC